GAAAGGGGGGGGGGGGGGGGAAGATGCAAATGATTCTCCAGTTCTTTTTCTTCTATTCTGCTGTCTCCAGGTATTGCAGTGCCCACTATCCAGACTTTTTTGTCTTTCTTATCAACAATTATTAAGTCTTGGGTGTTGTGTGGCAGGTGCTATTATTATTATTATTATTAATAATAATTATTATTATTAGCCACCCAACTCCAAGGTATGGTGGGAAAGAAGGTGAGACACAAGGTTTGTAAATAGGACTAGTTCTTGTCACACTGACTGAAATTTTGGTTATGGCTTTCTAACTTTCTTCAGTAAATGCTATTTTTTTTCCAAGTTCTTGAATTTTCTTGTGAGCTTATCTAAGGGGTTCCAATCCTGCTTTTGAGCAGATAAAACCTGCCACCAACTTTTTCCTGGAAATATTCCAGCCCGTTTAAAAAATTGGAAGATGGATAAAAACGGAGCGGAAGTTTTTCCGAGCACGAACAGATATACTTTATCTGTTGAATTTTGATAGTTTTCTACCTGTTAAAAAGTAGACATGCAGCCCTAGAAAAACAGCTTAGTGTGAGAACAAAACAAACCCAAAGAAAGACAATGGCAGACAAAGGCAACTGAAACAAAACAATGGTTAAATGTAATTTTTTTCAAAACAAAATTGAAGGAAAGCCCTGGTTGGCCCAGTATGAAGTCATTTATTTCAGTACTTCAGCACAATTTTTACCAGGGGAGTGTTCAGTGGAGGTCAAACAAGTCAAAATGGTGGCTCATTAATTTAGGGGCTGTGGCCATCATGACTTTTCAGGCCCTCCCATGGATACCCCTAATTTTTATAGAGCTCTATAGTGGCTTTTATTCTGAAATGCCCCACCGGCTCACCGCATTTGGGGTGGGGGTTTTGGATGACCCTCCTGTCTTTTTTCACAAACTTTCTTGCTTTGTTTCTACAGAAAGAGACAGTCCTTCATCTGGAAGCGGGAAAGCACCCCCTTTTTCAACAGAAAAACAATGGGTTAAGATGCAAAATCCCACAGGACGTCCCATTTTGAGTGGCGGGCCAGATGCCAACGTGGCTTCTAAGCCCCTTTCTTGGAGGAGCCCAAGACATAGCTTAGTCCTGGAGCATCCACGGTGATGGAAAATGTGTAGTATAAAAGAGCGCTGAATGTGGAGCTCGGACACAACCTTTAATTTTGTAAGAAATCCGACATGAGAAGGAAAAAAAGAGAGAGACAGCACAAGATTCTGGCCATAATTTTATGTATTAACAATGGCTAAAAAAATCTCAGAAGCAAAGAAGTGGATGAAAGCTGGGATTGCAAGGCTATTGGTTTGGGAATAAGCCCCGTTTAAGTTTGCAGGACTCTTTTGCAAGGAAGCACGTATGCAAGCGGGTGTCAGAACATCAGGTGGCCCAAGATAAGGCGTTACCAATCTTTTCTTTCTTTCTTTCTTGCCTCCGTCTTATCAATGATACAACCAGAGAACAGTGCAATCTTGTACCTGATTCTAGCAGCACGTACTTCCAAGTCTAAGCACCCAACCTTCATATAATGCTGCAGACCAAGTTATGCCCATAGCAAACATTCAATTACATCAGAAAGGCAGGGGGGGGATGCAAATGATTCAAGCTCCTTAAATGACACAGGCTGCAGCTAGAGCTTTTCTTTTTCTTTGGAGGGGGTAGAATAAAGTGGATGATTTAAGCCAAGAGTCTTCTCTTGCAGTACCCATAAAGTTTAATGAAAAATGCTCCAAATTCACCGATGGCTTCACATCTCAAATAAATATGATTTTGCTTAGGGCAGTGTTGTCCAAACTTGGCCACTTTGAGTGGACTTCAACTCCCAGAATTCCCC